AATTTGTCTAGCCCCCTTTTAAAACCATTCAAGTTAGTGCTCATCTTGTGGTACATCTTGTATACCATCTTGTATAACTGTGGCACATCTTGTATAACTATTCAAGGTGGGAAGAAATATGTCCATTTGACTGTTCTGAATCTCCAACCACTCAGCTTCACTGGGTGACTTTGGATTCTTGCATTGCGAGAAAGGGAAAACAATTTGCCCCTACTGATTTTCTCTGTGTTATGCATAATTTTATACATAAACATCATCTTCCCTGTTAATTATGCATTTTATAAGGTAAAAAGCCATATATGTTACAACCTGAAATTGTTCCAGTATCTCTTTCAAAGCAGTTTCCCTGCACTTGGCCTATTTAGGGTGGTTTAAACCAAAAGGGATGGTGAGGAGCTGCAAAGCGATCTTTGCAGCCTGAGGGAATAGATACCAAAAAGGCAAACGCAGGTCAGTTTAAGCAATTGTAAAGTAATGCACACTGGTGCAAACCACTCCAACTTCATGGGCTGATTCATGATTGATCACAAAAAGGATTCTGGGATTGTAGTAGACAGCTGAATGACAATGTTGATCCAGTGTGTAGCTGCAATTATAAAAAACACAAATTCCATGTAGGCATTAATAGAAAAGAATTGTAAATAAAACTGCCAAGCTTATACCACCCTTATACAAATATTTGTTGTGATTACACTTACAATATTATGTACAATTTTGGTTGCCACCTCCGAAAAAGAATATTATGATGTTAGAAAAGGTGCTGAGAACTGCAACTAAAATGTTCAATGAATTAGGGCAACTTCCATATGAAAAATGGTTGCAACAACTGGGATTGTTAAGGTTAGAAGAAAAGGTAAGGGGAGACATGATAGAGGTGTTTGAAATTATGCATGGTGTGGAGATGTGAAGAGGGAAACACTTCTCTCCCTTTCTTGTAATACTAGAACCTGAAGTCATCCCATGAAGTTGGTGAGAGATTCAGGAGAGATTAAAGTACGTTGTCACATAATGAATAGCTATACTATGGAACTGACTGCCACAGGAAGTAGTGATGGCCACAAATCTGTATGACTTTAAAAGGAGACTGGTCAAATCCATGGAGAAGGCTATCAATAACTACTAGTCTTGATGGCTATGTGCTACCTCTGGTACCAGTATGTCTTTTTCTGCTGTGCAGTATTATTTTCCAGTTGGCTTGCCTTTCAATATTATGCACTGTTCTAACTATGATACCCACATTTACGTACATAAGACAAAGGACTGAACCAATTATGACTGAATAATTCTTATGATGTAAGTTTGTATGACTCCCTATGTTTAGGCATTATATTTTGGAAAAAAGTGCATTTGCTTTCCTCCCTTCTATCCACTGAATGATACTGTATGCTTTTTCAAAAATATATATATTTTAGGACACAAAAGGAACTACTTTTTATTTCCACTAGAACTTTTTAGTCCTATCATACTCTCATTGTTAACTAAATAAGAAAATGTTTCCAACATGCTGAGGATATCCCTTTTTGTTCCCAAATGGATTTTTCTGGAAAAAGTAAGATGACAAAAGCCTTCCAGGAATACTTCTGATTTTATACAAAATTAGAACCACAGCTGTGCTGACCTGCTTTTTCTATATAAGCAGAATATGTAGAGATCTCTACAAAAATATATTTGCTATGTGCAATAGGGTACATTTATATGTGTCTAATCAATTTCAACTGCTTCCATGTCAGATACATGAAATATATCTTAGAAGCAGACATTAAGCATTTGAACCACTATATCTAATTTATAATACCAACATAATATTACTGAAACATCAACTTGATAAAGCAGGACAAGAATGTTATGCTCCTTGGCCACACTACAGTATTTTGCATATAGCACTCCATTCTGTAAAGAGTACTGATGGGGAACCTATGGCATTGCACAGATGTTGAAGTACAATTTCCATATTGCACAATAACTGCCCAGGCTGACTAAAACAGTCACAAGATTGTATTCAGACTTTCTCCAAATCGTAGCACAGAGGTATGGGATACAACTCTTACCTACAAGATAAAGGAGAACAAATTGTGGACACTTTTTTCAGTTACAGGCATTTTAAAGAACATAACTGAGGTGTCCACCATTACCTCCACATAATTTCAAAGTAAGAACATTCATATGATCAGTTCTGAAAACTGCAGTAACTCCATCTAACCAAATCAATGCTATAAGTGTTCAAATCTACTCTTGGTGGGAAATTGTAATTCTGTTGGAACTTCAATTGAAAAAATGAAAAGGCAGACTAGTAGTCAAAGATTCCACTTAATTAAGCTAGTGAGCAGCTATCATATTCTAGATATAAGATTTAAATTCTGAATTGTTTTAAGGCTTTGTCAAGTCAATATTCATTTAAAAATAAAACTTAGATGACAAAATGGTATATAAGATTAAAATTCAGTAGAGTGACTACATTTAAATATTACAGCCAGCTTAACCACATGAATTCCCCAAAACAGAATAAAATAGAGAAAATATTATCTCTACAATAACTATAAAATTATGACTTTCTATCTACACCAATAGCTATCATCAACTTCATGACAAATATTTAGAAGCAGGAAGGACAGTGGCAGCAAGGTCCATTCCTGAAAACAAGAAATTATGAAAAGCATCCTTTATCTCTTGTAGTTCTTACAATAGCTCCATATTCCTCTCTTTTGGGTAATACCACCCTTATTCTTTCTTGTGAGGCTTCCCTTCTGCCCCACTTCATTACATTTACATTTCTGTCTTATGACTGTTCACAATAAAGCCTCATAGAAAGCCAATTTGACTTTCTTACTTTTATATGATCTAACTACTATCTTTATGAAGGAATTTAACTAAGACAAGAATCAAATCTGATATCCTGTGCAGGGTGGCAGAACCATGGAGATGAAGGTCATATCTGCATTACTCCTACTTAGCAAGCACTAAACCATCCGGGCACCTGAGACCCCCACTCCTGAGGTTCTTGTTACCTGAAGGGCACAGCTGGCACAGTTTTTTTTTCCATGACAGCTGGATGGGTGTAGGGTGGGGATGGAGCTCTAAGTTGAGAACCCAGCTACAGCAACCTTGCAGCTAGGTCTCAAAAAACTCTTTATGGCTGCCTAGATCCTGTCACGTGGCCACAGGATTGGTCTCCCTGATGTCTCATTAAAGTGAACATATTTATTACCAAAACCATCTTCTTGTCTCTAACATTATGCATCCCTGCACTGTACAACAGGTTTATTTATTTATATGATTTCTTTTATTGTTGTCTTAAGTTATTTGTTTTTGTGCTGTGCTTTAATTAAGAGTTTATTTTTATTGTTAGCTGCTCTGAGTGCCATTTTTAGTGCAAAGGTGGGATATAAATTAAATATTATAGAAAGCTTTCAAGAAAAGCAAAGCATTAACAAAACAATACAGTGGGGAAAAACTAACAAGGACTAAGAGTTAGCAGCCAAATACTGCATATTTTGTTTATACCTCAGTAATGTCTTCAAATGCAGCAGCAACCCCCAAGTGTTCTTGAATTAAATATAAGAAAAATGTGTATGCTATAGCTTAGGATTATAAATTAAACTTAACTTCAAACCTGACCAGAAACACATAGGTCAGACCTCCTTGTTAGAGGAGGAAATAGATTCTGCAGGGTTAGATCTATAATTAGGCAGTTGGCAACTTAATGTCCATAAAACTTTGATTAAGTCACCTACAAGTAACTTCTAAGTTCATCAAGACAGACAGAAACATAGCTACTACAAAGTTCTCCAACAAGATTTCATGATCAATTTTATCAAGGACAGCAAAGTAGTATCAACATGTCAGACTTTCTCACATAACTACTAGAAGATAGAAAAACCAACCAACCAACCAAACTGACAATGGCTACAAACATAGCCAACATCATAATGTCCTCTCAGAGGGATAACTGGTATGGGTGAAGGTAATCAAGCCTCATTCAAGACAACCTGTTTAATTGCCTTGACCTCAAAATAAACAAAATACTTACATATACTTTTTACATATACTTGCATATACTGGCTTTTTAAGGCTCAGGTGTCAATGCCTATTTTAATGGGAAGAGTAATCTTACCTCAAAGACTGTAAATGCAACACACTTCTGAAAAGAGGAATTATCGTATTTAAGACCTTGATGTGATCGTTTTTAAACAGATATATATATATTTTCTTAGACCACTGTCAGAGCTGACCAGCAGGCACAGAGATGAAGTTTGTTCAGTAGCTAAAGCAGGAGCAAGAAGATCAAAGACAACAAGTCAAGCACCTTTCAGTTTAGTTTTATCATACAGAAGCATGAGGAGATAATGGAAATCCTCCTTGCTAATGTAAGGTTAAGATAAGCTTCTAACACAAAGCATACATCTTAATTCAATTAATGCTGCATTTCAAGGCAGGTGTATGTAGCCATAACACATACCAGCATCTTGAGTAGAACAATTATTGGGCCATATATTTTCTGTGTAGGCAGGATACTGGTCTTTTGCTAATTTAAGATGATGCAAGGCAACAAATGTTAAATCTTGTATGCTAGAACCACAAATATGCCCATGAGATGGTAATTACACACTGGAAGACAACATGAAATTACAAGATGCAAGCTACCTTTTACCTCCTTTCCAGAGCTGTAAAATTCACATCTATGTCTAGAATAACATTAAATTATGAAGAGAAAAGGGAGGAAAGCTTCTATCACTGCACTAGTTAGAATGCCAACAAATGGAAATATCCAAGATCTTTTTCAAGAAATATTACAGAAACTATCCAAACCTGCCAGTCCTTTTGCATTATTGACATACTGTTAGCATCAGCAATCTTCATCTCTATCCTTATATCCAAATTTTCCAAAATCAAAGCTCTCTTTGTAGGTTTTCATCACCTCTGGTCCAGCTAACACTATTTTAATTTCTAATCACTCGCATATTAAAATGCTGTTCTTTAATTTCTATTTTTTCTTTTTTTAGATTAAAGAAGCTTATTGACCAAGACACAGCCTATCAGGCAAAAAGAGAAAAGGAAAACAACAAGAAAATAAACAAATTGAAGGAAGAGCTGACAAAACTCAAATCATTTGCTTTAATGGTAGTGGATGAACAACAAAGACTTACAGAACAGATAAGCCTGCAAATCCAAAAAATCCAAGACTTAACTAACTCTACAGAGCAAGCACATGAGAAACTCTCCATTGCAGAAACAAAAGCTCAAGAAGAAGAGCAAAAAGCCCTCAGGCTGGAAACAGAACTTCAAGTACAAACTATTAAGTTTTCCCAAGAACAAGAAATTGTGATGGCCAAACTAACCAATGAAGAGAGCCAGAATCGCCAGCTACGCTTAAAATTAACAGCACTCAGTCGACAAATTGATGAACTTGAAGAGACTAATAAGTCCTTACGAAAGGCAGAAGAAGAACTGCAAGATCTCAGAGAAAAAATGAATAGAGGGGAATGTGGAAATTCTACCCTTATGTCTGAAGTGGAAGAGCTAAGAAAAAGAGTACTGGAGATGGAAGGAAAAGATGAGGAGCTCATAAAAATGGAAGAACAATGCAGAGAGCTTCATAAGAAGCTAGAAAAGGAAGCCTCACAAAGTAACAATTTTAAAACTGAAGTTGATAGATTCAACAAGAGAATTATGGAACTGGAGAAATTGGAAGATTCTTTCAGCAAGAGCAAACAAGAATGCTACACTTTGAAATGCAATCTAGAAAAAGAAAAAACATTAACGAAGCAGCTCTCACAGGAACTTGATGTTTTAAAAGCTCGTATTGGAGAGCTTGAAACCATGGAAAGTAAATTGGAAAAAACAGAGCTCACACTTAGAGAAGATTTAAATAAATTGAAATCATTAACGGTATTGCTTGTTGATGAGAGGAAAACAATGAATGAAAAAATAAAGCAAACAGAAGAAAAGCTACAGACTACAAATTCACAGCTTCAGCTGGAACAAAAAAAAGTTATGTCAGTCACAGAAAAATTGATTGAAGAAAGTAAGAAGGCACTAAAATCTAAGACAGAGTCTGAAGAAAAAATGTCCAATCTCACAAGACAGAGAGATGAACTGAAAAGTAAACTAAAAGCAGAAGAAGAAAAAGGAGATGATCTCTCCTCCAAAGTGAATCTGCTAAAGAAAAAGCTACAGTCCCTAGAAGCCATTGAAAAAGAGTTTCTTAAAAATAAACTTAAGGAGACAACCAAACCTACCACATCTTTGCAGCAAGAAAACAACAAGATTAAAGAACTAGCCCAGGAAATTGAAAGGCTCAAACACAAACTTAAAGAAATGAAGGCCATAGAAGATGATCTCATGAAAACTGAAGATGAATTTGAATCTTTAGAACGTAGATACATTAATGAACAAGATAAAGCCAGATTTCTGTCAGAGGAACTTGAGGCTGTGAAAAAAGAACTGGCTCGGTATAAGTTAGCAGAGAAGACAGAATGCAATCATGAGCAGAGATTATTCCGAAAACTCAAGGATGAAGCAGCTAAGTCAGGACACCTTTCTAGAGAAGTAGATGCACTAAAAGAGAAAATTCATGAGTATATGGCAACAGAGGATTTGATATGCCACCTAAGGGAAGACCATACAATTCTGCAGAAAAAACTCACTCACCAAGAAAATAAAAACAAAGAATTAGGAAGAGAAATGGAAATCCTGTCCAAAGAACTGGAGAGGTATAGGCGTTTCAGCAAAAGCCTTAGACCAAGCCTGAATGGAAGGAGAATTTCTGACTTGCAAGTTGTCTCTAGGGAAGTCCAAACAGAACCACTGGACAATGAACCACCTGATTACAAAACTCTAGTTCCTTTGGAAAGGGCTGTCATAAATGGACATTTATATGAAGAGAGTGATGATGAGGATGAGGATGAGCAAACTCCATCTTTCAGGTGCAATCCCTCTGTTGCAAATGTAGTAAACAATAATAAACTATGGATACCCTGGATGAAGTCTAAAGAAAACCATATCCAAAATGGAAAGGTTAACACTAAGCAGAATGGAAATTGCATTCAACCTGGAAATGTAGTTCTAAGTCACACACCAGGCCAGCCTCTTCATATAAAGGTTACTCCAGATCATGGACAAAACACAGCCACCCTTGAAATAACAAGCCCAACTGCAGAGAGCTCCCAGTCTTTCACCAGTACAGCTATGATACCCACCTGTGGCACACCAAAGCAAAGAATCACCATAATTCAAAATGGATCTTTAAATCCAATAAAATCTAAAGTAGCTGATGGTTACTCAAGTCCAGAACAAGCCATACCACCTCTTACTATGGCTGCCTTTACTAGATCTCAAACACCTGAATCATGTGGTGTTATAACTCCAGAAAGGACAACCTCCCCATTGGCTCTGACAAGTTCAAGTTCTCCTGAGCAGTTGCTTTCACCAGAATCACTGGAAATTGGTGACAAGCATACTATCTTTAGAGTATCCCCTGAAAGGCAGTCATCCTGGCAGTTCCAAAGATCCAACAGTTCTGGATCTAGTGTGATAACTACTGAGGATAATAAAATACATATTCATTTAGGAAGCCCTTATGTCCAAGCTCTTCCTAATTCGGCAAAAGTCTTTAATCCTTGCACCCCTGTGCAGGATAACAGAACTCCAGCAGTAACTAATGGAACACCAAGCAAATCTATCAACAAAATCACCAGCAGCATCACTATTACACCTACAGCCTCTCCTCTCCCACGACAGTCACAAATTACAGTAAGTAGTGTCTATGACTGACCATCCCTTGCTGTGCTGCCATACTTACTACCAGTACAAACTTAGATTTTCTATCTCAGCAAGAATGATTTGGGACAATTATAATTACAATTCTGTGGGAGTTCTTTGCATGTGTCTTCCAACAGTATACAGAACTAACACAAATATTTGTTTAATTATATCAAGCGTGCCCTTACTGTATTTTCTGTTCATTTCAATACCTTTTCATAAGATAAAAAGATTCGCACTTGTATCAATGCATCTTTGTGTATTTACATTTTCAATAACTGACATTTTTACTACAACTGTTTCAGTAAAATATTTTAACATTATAAAACAGTAAATATTTTTAACCATTGCCTGCAGAATTCATTTTGTGTGTGAACTTTTGCATGTAAAACTGTTCAGTTTTAATCTTTAGATCTTTGTCAACGTTTTTTCACTACCTTACTTATTTTCTAAATTTTATTTGACTATACAGGTAACTATTATCAGATCAAGTATCACATAAAGTGGCATGCATCTTAGAAATAATGGTGCATGAAATTACAAAAGTCGCTAGAATAGCATATTGGTTAAAAGAATGAGCTGTGAGCAGAAGTGAGATTTGAACTATCAGTATGCTCTTCGGATAGCAAAAAGTAAGCCACCACTTTTAAGGCACTGTATTACCTTATTCATTTTTAAAAAATTAAAGAAAAATTATGCAAAATGTTTTTAGGACTTTGGAAGAGCACTTTATCAATAGAATGTAAGTAAAAGTATTTTGGGAAAGTAATCTTATATTTCTTTTTTCTCTCTTTTCCTTGAACCTAAATTGAAGGAAGTGGTACCATAATATCTTTAAAGCAATTATTTAACTTTCCTCCCCACATATTTTCTAGGAACATAGGACATACCTTAAGTCAGGTTATTTGTCCACATAGCACAGTATTCTCTACTCCAGGAGGCAGCAGTTCCGCAAATTCTTAGGCAAAGAAATATTTTCCATCCCAAGGTATTCAGACCTTTTAATTGGGTATGTCAGGGACTGAACCCAACAATATTTTGTGTGCAGAGCATGAGTTCTTCCACTTAGTGTGGATCTATATCCATTTGATTTGTGAACAAAGAAAACATGTTTGTCATCATTCCAAATTCTCCAAAAAAAATAAATCTCAAGACCTCAACATGCCATATGTATGTGCAAATTCACAATGAAATATTAGTTAGAACATTAACTAATGTGAATTCCACTGACAGTGCTTCCTCCAAATTATCACAATGAGGAAAATCATCCAGATTAAATTCACATACCACTCTGTTTACAGTAACTTTCCCCATACATTCACATAGACATGGGATATGAAGGCTGTTTATGTGACCTGGTTCCGGGTGTTAAACAAATATTAGCAATGAAACATACCACTCTGAGTTGTTTCTTTACTGTTCCTGCAGACTGTTCAATATACATGACACTTGTTATCAGTACATATATTAGATATCCCTTTGTTTATATTTCCATGCACTTACTGGAGGAAAAAAAACAGCAGAGGGTTTAATACTAATGAACTGAAATATTAATCTGTGTGTGTGTGTGTGTGTGTGTGCGCGCGAGAGAGAGAGAGAGAGAGAGGGAGAGAGGGAGAGGGAGAGGGAGGGGCTCACAGTAACACAAAAATATTAAAGTCACATTAAAATCCAGTACAAAATAAGTACAACCACCCATAAAATATTGTTTTCTGTTTAGTCGCAACCCATGGACAACATTCCTCCAGGCTCTCCTGTCCTCCACCATCCCTTGGAGTCCACCCAAGCCCACACTCACTGCCCCAGTGACTCCATCTAGCCACCTCATCCTCTGCCATTTCCTTTTCCTTTTGCCGTCAATTGTTCCCAGTATTAGACTCTTCTCCAGTGAGCTGTTCCTTCTCATTAGGTGGCCAAAGTATTTGAGTTTCATCTTCAGGATCTGGCCTTCTAAAGAGCAGGCAGGGTTGATCTCCTCTAAGACTGACTGGTTTGATCTCTTTGCAGACCAAGGGATTCACAAGAGTCTTCTCCAGCACCACAATTCAAAAGCCTCAATTCTTCGGTGCTCAGCCTTCCTTATGATCCAACTTTCACAGCCATACAGTGCAACTGGGAAAACCATAGCCTTGACTATACAAACTTTTGCAGGGTGATGTCTCTGCTTTTTAGTGTGCTGTCTAGATTTGCCATGGATTTGCTCCCAAAGAGCAAGCGTCTTTTAATTTCTTGGCAGCAGTCCCCATCTGCAGTGATCTTGGAACCCAGGAAAATAAAATCTGTCACTACCTCCATTTCTTCCCCATCTATTTGTCAGGAAGTGATACGGCTGGATGCCATGCTCTTAGTTTTCGTAATTGTTGAGTTTCAAGCCAACTTTTGTGCTCTCCTCTTTCACCCACATCAAAGGCTCTTTAGTTCTTCACTTTTTGCCATTAGAGTGGTATCATCTGAGTATCTGAGGTTGTTGATAATTCTCCCGGCAATCTGAATTCCGACCTGTGGTTCATCTAGCCTAGCCTTTCACAAGGTGTGCTCTGCATATAAGTTAAATAGGCAGGGGGACAATGTACAGCCTTGCCGTACTCCTTTCCCAATTTTGAATCAATCAGTAGTTCCATGTCCAGTTCTGTCAGATCTAATTCTTTAAATTTATTTGTCACTTCCACTGTATATTCATAAGGAATATGATTTAGGTCATGCCTAGTGGTTTTCCCTACTTTCTTCAATTTAAGCCTGAATTTTGCAACAAGAAGCTCATGATCTGAGCCACAGTCAGCTCCTGGCCTTGTTTTTACTGACTGTATAGAGCTTCTCCATCTTTGGCTGCAGAGCACATAGTCAATCTGATTTCTGTGTTGACCGTCTGGTGATGTCCATGTGTAGAGTTGTCTCTTGGGTTGTTGGAAAAGACTGTCTGCTATGACCAATGTGTTCTCTTGACAAAATTCTGCCAGCTTTTGCCATGCTTCATTTTGTATTCCAAGGCCAAACTTGCCTGTTATTCCAGTTTTCTTTTGACTTTCTACTTTAGCATTCCTTCTTCCATGATGATAAGGACATCATTTTTGGTGTTAGTTCTAGCAGGTGTTGTAGGTCTTCAGAGAACTGGTCAACTTCAGCCTATTCAGTATCAGTGGTTGGGGCACAGACTTGGACTACTGTGATGTTGAATGGTTTGCCTTGGATTCAAACTGAGATCATTCTGTCATTTTAGAGATTGTATCCCAGTACTGCTTTTCCTGTTCTTTTATTTACTATGATGGCTACTCCATTTCTTCTAAGGAATTCTTGCTGGCAGTGGTATATATGAATTTGAATTTGAATTAAATTCATCCATTCCTGTCCATTTTAGTTCACTGATTCCCAAGATGTCAATGGTCAGTCTTGTCATCTCATGTTTGACCACGTCCAGCTTGATCCATAGATCTTACATTCCAGGTTCCTATGCAGTATTGTTCTTTACAGCATCAGACTTTCCTTTCACCACGAGATATATCCACAACTGAGTGTTCTTTCGACTTTGACCCAGTCACTTCATTCTTTCTGGCGCTACTTGTACTAGCCCTCTGCTCTTCCCCAGTAGCACATTGGACACCTTCTGACCTGAGGAACTCATCTTCCAGCATCATATCTTTTAGGATTTGGGTACCATCCATGGTGTTTTCATGGCAAGGATACTGGAGTGGGCTGCCATTTTCTTCTCCAGTGGATCACCTTTTGTCAGAGCTCTCTGCTATCACCAGTCTTGGTTTCCCCTGCACAGCACAGCTCATTGTGCTATGCAAACCCCTTTACCACGGCAAGACAGTGACCCATGAAGGGGTCCATAAAATATAGCTCCCTCCTGTCTAGGAAACTAGTTCAGACAAAGGCCCTAGATGAAGCAGAACCAACTTATTCAAATATGGAAGGGAACAATATTTTTAATGGTAACTGAAAGAAAGAGAAGGTGCTAATTTAGCTTCTTTGAGAAGAATGTACCAAAGCTTGGACACTGTTACTGAAAAGATCCTATTTCCAGTTGTTGCCCACCTAAGGATTTGAAGGCCCAGAAAAATAACTGGCGGGGGTTGGTGACGAAAAACCTACTTCACACACAGGACTTTTTATAAGTTTTTCCAATCTAAAAATGTTTTTAAGAATGGAAATCTTGGGGAAACAGTCTAAAATCCTCTATGAAATATATTTTCTTTGTGAATTGGGCCAGATTTTAGTCACTCAGGAGGCAGTATGAAAACATTTTATATAAGACAAAAGTTCAGAAGAATGATAATTCCTGTGTAACATACTGCTTTGTTTACTACAAATTGTTAGGTCTATTTTCCACTTTTATTTTTTCTCAACTTCTCAGAGAACAAAAGAAAGATATATGTACTTAGGTAGCACAGGGTAGAGCCGTTTGAAGAGCTCTCTAATACTGGGCTTGTATATTTGAAGTTTTGCACATTAAAAATGGAGGGAACAATCCTATGGTCCCTAGACATAGTCTGGGGAGAAGCTGTAACACAGATTGCCAACTCTAAGGTTGGAAACACTGTTCCAAACTCAACTCTCTGAGCCTGCTGCTGCCCAGGGCCAGGCAATGAACCTCTGAGAAGGGTTAAAAGAAGGATTTTGGAGATAGAGAAGGAACATGAGTGGCCATTTTCCTTCCCTCTCCATCTGGAACACCATCACTAAATAACTGTTTAGCAAAAATGTGGAGGGGGAATAATGGAGAGGCAAAGATTGCCCCCCCCCTTGCTGGTCTGCACTGAATCTGCATTCAGAGGCTCACACTCATTTTGACTGAATTATCAGTAAGGCATTTGTACTTTTGAGTTTGCTATCCTGCACATGCTTACCCAAGATATTATACGAATGCCAATATTCTTAAACTACTCTACATTTTCTGTGCTTACTGTGCAATCCTACGCATATCTACTCAGAAGAAAGTCCCACTAAGTTCCTAGGTAAGTTAGTATAGGACAGAAATCTTAGCTATTCCAACATTTTAAATTATATTTCCAGTTTCAATATCACAAATTTATTAAAATACTTATGTTTTAAGACATGGGTTAGCAGAAAAGGTTAAGCACACATTAAATCCTAAAGATATCACAAAGATTCTCCTTTGGCTACTTTTTTTTTTTTTTTTAGCATCACTGACTTTCTCTAGATTTTATTCAGAAGTAGCAGCAGCACTTATCTCCGGAGCTTTAGTTAGGCTTCAACTAAAATGCACTGATCATCATGAAGAACTGCTTTAAGAAAAAAGCTAGAAAGTGTTTAGAGAACAGGAATACAGTTGTTGAAGCTTTTCTCTGCAAAAACATGAGGAATGGCTATTTTCATGAAGCACATTCAGTTAAAAAAAAGTATAAAAAAGAACAGTGTCATACCTGCATATACTGAAAAGGAAGTCATAAATAACCAGTAAACACTGAAATACCAACACTGTTTTAGAGTAGCATCTACAGCTGGGGTAAAAAAGTGGACCTTCTGGGTACCTCCCAACCTATCTTACAGCCTCCAGATTGCCAGCATTTGCCACTGCTGAAAAAATAAGGGTAATGCTCTGGGAGCAAGCTCTATAGTTCCTGACATACTGCAGGAGCCACATTCCTATACCATCCCAAGAAACAGCAGTTAAAGATTCCTGACTACATCTTGGGATGCTCTAGGAATGACATTCCATAGAACCTGTTCCTAAAGCATTTGTACTTTTTCAAGTTATTTTTGGGTAGTCACATTGGGTTACCTGGGGTTGGCTTCAATACCTTGATGCTGCTGCTTCCTGGATGAGTATAAGAATGATGGATCTATGTGAGCTGTATGTGTCAGCCCCTGTGGCCCCAGAGGACAAATGATGTGGGGCCCTGTGACTGAAAAGGGTAAGCTCCCCAGATCTATAGGAAAATGGATACATGGAAAACTAGAAGGCAAAATGTTTTGTTGACAATTACTTTGATACTATTCAAGCTAGTGGAATATACTTTCAGGGTACAGAATGTCACGCACTGTGGTGAGACATTGTGGTGAACCAGTTAGGAGTGCAGGACCTGGACCCAGGAGATCTGGTTTCTAGCCCCCACTCAGCCATGGGTGACTTTGGGCCAGTCACAGACTCAGCCCAACAAACCTCATAGGATGGTTGTTGTGAGATAAGATCAAGGAAAGGAGGAGAGGAAAAAAGTTGACTATAATAAATGAATAAATATGCACATCCAGAACATCAAAAAGTTAACATGATTGAAGTCTGTTATACTTTATTAACCCACATGTTTTAAAAATGGTATCTTCCATTTACCAAGATTCTGAGTTGCCAAAGCATGGCCAGATGCAAAAAAAATATGATTTTCAGTTAACCATGTTCAAACACTCTAAGCTTCCAGTGAGGGATATAGTCAGACATTTTGCATGTTCCCACTACTGTATCACTGACTGACAACTGTTGGGAA